AGGGCACCCCTGCCTGCTGCTCCCAGCACCAGGAGGGCACAGGGCTATGGACAGACTGGTGTGGGATCCCCAAGGAGCGGGTGGAGGAGGGATGGCAGGATCCCCCCCACCCCCGGGATGAGCTGAGCAGCAGCAGCAGCCCCACCTGGGCTGGAACCTCACCTGGAACCCGGGGACAAACCAGCCTCTTCATCCCTGGAAAGCAGGGAGCACAAGGTGACACTTCCCTGGGGTTTGGGGACACCCCCGTGTCACTCCCACCCTCTCCAGCCCTCACACCCTGCCAGGTTCACCCACCGGCTTCACGGGACATCGATTTCCAGCTGGGAAACCACGGAGCTGCTCCCAGTTGGGTAATTAAAAGCCCGGCCACACGCTCCTGCCAGGAGCCTCCAGATCTGGCTGCTTTGTTTTATGAAAATGACGAGTCAGTTTTTAAACAGCAAAAGCCTGTGTTTATCTGTGTTTTTTCCCTCCAAATGAACCAGAAATCTGTTGCCACCGGCTCCTCTTCTCATGCCAGATGGTGACTGAGCTGAGCCCAGAGGAGCCTTCAGCATCTGGTCTTGGGAGCTGAACGAGGAGCCCCCCGGGGGGTCCCACCCTCCAGCCACCCCCGGCCTCCAGAGGTTGGAGGGAAGGAGGGAAAAACAATTCTTTACCTGGACCCTGTTTGACATCAGGGTGGTTGAAAGGCAACACTTCCACAGGAAGATGTTAAATTTAAGTCACTCTGCTTCTAGGCCCGTTACAATCCACGTGTTATCACTCCACAAGCTTTTTCCTCTTCCAGGAACCCCTCACCAGTCTGTTCCTGGAGAAGCTGCAGCACTTTTCTGGGTCCTTTCTCCACCACAAAGGACACCAGTTGCCACTGGGCCTGTCTGAAGCTTCGCTATGGTGTTTTCTGGCACTTCAGGCTGGGAGAACCACGAGACACCGCCTGTCCCGGCCTGTCCTCTGACTGCAGACAGAGCCAGGGACACTTCCAGGCCTCCCCTGGGTCTTGGGATGGCTGGGAAGGCAAAACCCTCTCAGCCCTCACTGCAGCCTGTTACCAACGGGTTATTTAACAGGAAAATCCAGGTCCCCCCTTTCCTCAGCGGCACCATCGCCCCGGAACCGCACACGAGGTGGAACTTGACCCACATGTGGAAAAGCAGCAGGACCCGAGATCCGGGCCCTTCAGGGCGATCCCTTGGGAAGCAGGAACGTGGCAGAGGGCAGAGCCCCCTCCTCGGGTCTGAACGCCCCACAGAGCCGACATCCAGCTCTTCCCACCCTCCAGCCCCGCGGGGAGGCTCAGGGGAAACAGCCCAGGCCCAGCAGCCCCCCAGGCCTGGCTGGGGACCCCCCCAGTGCTCCCAGTGCTGCCCACCCACACCCTCCAGCCCCGCGGGGAGGCTCAGGGGAAACAGCCCAGGCCCAGCAGCCCCCCAGGCCTGGCTGGGGACCCCCCCAGTGCTCCCAGTGCTGCCCACCCAGGCAGGGGCATCTCCCCAGCCCCCCGGGGATGCCCCCAACCCCCACCCCAGTGCTCCGCTCCCCAGTCCTCTCCCAGTGCTCCCCAGTCCTCTCCCAGTGCTCCCCAGTCCCCTCCCAGTGCTCCCCAGTCCCCTCCCAGTGCTCCCCAGTCCTCTCCCAGTGCTTCCCAGTCCCCTCCCAGTGCTTCCCAGCCCCCTCCCAGGGCTTCTCAGTCCTATACCAGTGCTCCCCAGACCCCTCCCAGTGCTCCTCAGTCCTACACCAGTGCCCCCAGTGCTCCCCAGTCCTCTCCCAGTGCTCCCCAGTCCCCTCCCAGTGCTCCCCAGTCCTCTCCCAGTGCTCCCCAGT